CAATGTCTGGCTCCCATTATTGCTTCTTAAAATCAGCGGTTGGTCTACTTTAATCTTTGAAGGTATTCTGTCTTTCCCACCTCTGGCTGCTTTTAAGATACTCTGTTTGTCTTAGGTATTCAGTGCTTTCACTATGATAAAGCTAATATGTTTTTCTTTTATATCTACTAACTGGGGTATTTTAAGCTTCTTGAATATGTGAGTTGGAGTTTCATCAGTTCTGGAAATGATTTTCAAAAGAGGTAGGAAGCATCACCAGTGCTGGTGAAGCATTCTTCAATTTCTTCCAGGACCCTGCACAAGCATCTGGTTCTTTGTGGTGAAGGTTCAGCTTTTAGAGGGTCAATTGACCTGTTGCTAGCTTATGGCTATCATGGTCACCACAGGTTATTTCTGCAACAGCCATCCATTGGTAGCTGTATGCTACTGGGGAAATCTATACAAAAAGCTTCTCATGGCACTAGGATGACCCATGGTCCCTGCTGGGGGGATGGTATTATAATGATTAATAGTAATGAAATTGCTGTGGAGCTTAGGGGTTGTTTTTTGCAAGTTTTCCACATCTGCTAAGATGAAAAGACCAGAGCATTGTGACCCAGTTACCTTTGGTCAGCTTTATACCAGAAAAATTATCAAAATATATGATTTCTAGAAATCCATGTTTGAGATACAGGTTTTCTAGCAATAAGAATTGAGGGTGATGCTAAAAGATAATGTTCTGTTTCAGAATTTTCCATAGGAGCTGGGAACCAGTGATGCCCTGTTAGGAACTTACACAAAATTTTCTTGTTGCAAAATTCTTCATAATGTAGGGAACTCATAATTCTTATTCTACTGTCAATCTTAGAGACCATGTGTGTGTGTGTATGTGTGTTTGAAGACAATACCAAGACACAGTTAAAAGTAATGGTGTTCCTACCAAGTGTATTTTTTAAATCTTATTATTTTTAAATTAGCTGATATTTACTTGCTGTTTAACCTGTGCAGAGACCACTAACAGGTAGTTTATGGGCACAATGGCAGTAGCTTGCTTTCTAGTGGACCCAAAGCATGTTTGCATAGAGATAACAGGGTCACAGAGATATAGGGTGTTCAGCATTTTAAGAACATTGTGACTGGACACTTTGGAGACTATTTAGACATTAATTAAGGAAGCTTTCTGAGTTTCCATCTGGGTATAATTTCAAATTGGAATGTCCAATACAGAGAAAACCCTCAGCTTGGGCCTCATGATACCAACCTAAAGTTTTTCTTGATCCCACTGTGGGACAATTTTGCTATTTAGGAAAGTTGTACAGATTCACAACTTTCTTAACACTCTTTGTTTAGGAAACCTGTGGAGAGTTTTTAGGGAGCTCTGGTGACATACTGCCTAAGACTGCTAACCAGAAGGCTGGCAGTTGAAACCCACCAGCCACTCCTCGGAAGGAAGACCAGGCAATCTACTTCTGTAGAGATGCCACCTCAGAAACTCAAGGAGGGGTCGCTGTGAGTCGGGACCAACTGATGGCAGTGAGTTTGGTTTCTCGAGTTGGTGGAGAGTTTGAGTATATCTCTTCACCTTTTCAAGAAGATTATGCTGTAGCAGGGATCTTCCCAAAGTAGGCAAGGATTCCTGTAAGCCACAAATTTCTCCCATCTTCATGGCCTGTTGTTGCTGTTGTTATGTGCCGTCAAGTCGGACCCTACTCATAGCAGCCCCTCCTTGGGTTTCCAATGCAATATCACTACGGAAGTAGATTGCCCAACCTTCCATTCATTAACTCATGTGGAATTTTACAGCTCACTTCGTAGTTCAATTCTTGATCATGGGCAGTAACTCTCCTTTAAAATAATAAATGGGACAATAACAGACACCTTCAGAAGCCTATTTCTTCTATTTAATCTATTGTCTAGAAATAATCTTTAAATCATGAACCAAAACTTTAAACAACAAAAGCCCACTGCCATTGAGAAAATTCCTACTTGTAACAACCCCCATTGGGTTTCCAACTGCAAATCTTTATGGAAGTAGATTGCCTCATCTTCCTCCCACGGAGCACTTGGTGGGTTTGTTCACCAGACTTCAGGTTAGCAGCCAAACACCTTACCCACTATGGCACCAGAGCTCCTTAAACTAAGTCACAGTTTATCTCAATTAATAAAGAATGTCTGTCTTAAACATTGTACTCTTTTAAAAAATCATCTATATGAAATCAAATTGACAACAGTAGCTCTGAAGCACAGATAAGAATGTTAAGTTCAGAGAGTCTAAGTTAATGGTGGTGAAACAATATAGGTAGAAATAGTGAGAATGGTGACACAATGGGAAGAACGTAACCAATGTCACTGAACAGCGTATGTAGAAATGGTTGAATAGATGTATGTGTTGTGTATATTTCACTAATACTAACTAAGAAAAAGGAAATCTATCCAGATGAACATGACAGTGAATTGCCCATATGGGAGCACAACAGTAAGTTTGTTTCTGATGGCCCGAAAGTCACATGACCATAGGTGAAAGACTGTGGACAAGATTAAAGGTATCACAATGTTGCAAATAACACAGAGGGGAATGTTGGAAGTTAAAACACTTTAGTGTTTACCCTTTCCTCAGGGGGGGAAATAAACCAATGACTATGAATTTTATCTTTAACAATTTATTGGCCTCTTCTAGTAGCTTTTCCTTTAAGGTCAGGCCCCAAATTTTGATCTTTAGAGATTAACAGGCTATTTCTTGCACCCAGACCTCCTTTATCATATCTAGATGGCTGGCTAGTAGCAGCAGGTTGTGCTCCTTTATCTTGCTTGTGTAATTTAGGAATGACACATGTGAAACTAATAGGAAAGCTAGCAATCATTTGGGAGGGTAGTATGCTTCAATTTTCGTAACATGACTGGACAGTGTTGAAAGAGTTGCTTTGTTTGACAGATACATCATGTAGAAAGATTGCCAAGACAAGTTTTCTTCCACTTGGGGAACCTTTTACAAGTTTTCAAATTTATTTAGGTATAGTTTTGGTGCCATGAATAAGTCCTAGTAGTGTTTACTTTAATGTTTGTCTTTTCAGGATTGAGATGGTCAAACTGCATTTACTGTGTTGCACTACATTATGGTGAGAAATCTGAAATAATGATCGAGAACAATAGGTTGAATTAAATATTTTGAGATCAACGTCATTTTTTTTAATAAAAAAAGAGAACTATGGGTGTCATTATATAAGATGAATTCAAATTTTGTCTTTTCCAGAGGAGAGTAATGATGGCGATAAAGGGAATCTTTCAAACAAACTAGAATTGCTATAAAGCAACTCCCCTAAATTGTATAAAATGCTCCCATTAATGAAAAGAAGAAGCTTTAGTGACTACTCAAATCCATTAAAGTGCTAAAAACATGTTAAATGTAACAGACTCTGTTATCTACAGATAACGAATGTGAGATAGTATGATATAAAGAATGAGCCTGGGGAGTGTGGAATCACATATAACTTGATTCAACCAGGAATGTACCATTTATTAGCCTAGTATCATTGCAAAAATTGTTTAATCTCTATCATTTTATTCTTTTCAACTGTAGGGATAAAAAGGTACTTACCTTACTGGACTGATGTGAGAATTAGATAAAAATATGATGCATAAGAACTTCTCAGTATAATTCTTAACTACAAAAATACTCAAGAATCACACATAAAGTTTAATAAGTTTTTATTGCAGTATATTGAGTACCCTGTCATAGAATATTAAGAAAGGCTGCTTTTCAGAACTTTGGTAGATGGGAATTAATTTATATGTAGTAGTTGTTATCTAAAGTTTATTCTGAATTGGGAATGTAACATTTATTTTAATATCTGTAATAATTATCTAAAAGGAGAACATGTGTTTAAGATTGTATGATTGCATCAAAAGAGCCAATTCCTAACATTTTCATAGTTTCCTATTACTGAATATTCATTCCATAACATTAATTAGCAAAGTCTTCTTATATCATTCCCTAGGACAAAGCAAGAGAAGAAGGTTAATTCAGAAAAATATTCCTGGATAAGTCAGGGAAGTCATAATGGAAACTCAGAGCAAGGGGCTGAATACTTTCCCACATAAATATTAATTATTCTAAAGCTGACTTTTTGTGCCAAAGGCTGACTCTGTCTCCTGCATTTATCATTCAGCCCTTTGTATCTTTGATTTGAACCTTTTAACTTATTACATTGTTAAGTGCTATACAAACTTACCTTCAAGACCCTCAATGTTACATAGATTTCCTGGAAGTGACACTAAACTCTGTCATAGTATCAGGAGACAAACCTGAAAAACTTTTCACTCAGGTTAAATTATCGACTGACTTTCCATTTACTTTTGTGTATGAGAAACATCCTACCTCTGAGAAGGGACAGACTACGCTTTCCAATCAAAACCTACGATTCTGTCATATCATCAGTTACTAGGGAATGCTGCTTCTGGAGGAGGAACCTAAGTGTCCAAAGATAAACAGCATTTCCCAGTATCAAGGTTCCTTTAAAAAAAAAAAAAAAAAAAATCACAGTGTCTTCATTTCACCTATGAAAAATCAGTTCTCCCAAATCTACAGAAGTAAGTTAAGCTTATAAGACTAAAGATCTCCTGACTTGTAGTCATCTTTCCTCCACCGCTCTACTCCTAAACACACACTTACACTTGTCCAAACAGCTCTGGCTCCAGCCATAGGAGAGAAGGCGGCTCCTAGGGGACTTAAACTTGTGTGGACACATCACTGAGCAGCACAGGGATGGCTCAAAATAGGGGCCAATTAAAAGGGTTTAGATACAGTTGGATCAAATTTTAAAAACACTAACTTGAAATAATCCTCTGAACGAAGGAAAGTCTAAGTTACAGAAAGACCCTTCATACTAAATCGCTGATTAGCAACTAATGACGCTCTTCATCTCGAATGCTGATTGGTTCTCAACAGTGAGGTTACCCAATGTAGAGGCAAAGCAAGCAGTTCCTTGGTTCCTGTTATCCGGGGTGTGAGCGGAGAATCGCCGTAGATCTCATTGAGGAAGACTTTCCTGCTCCTCTCTTACCCTGTGCTCTCCTTTCTCCAGCATGGTCGGCTTATGGTTCCCCAGGGGCACCTGGACGGCAGCTTTGACACTGATACTGATGGTGCTGAGCCCTCCTCTGGCTTTGTCCAGGGACACCCGACGTAAGTGCACACCTTGGGTGGAAGATATTACGGGGTTGGATAATGTAGGCAAAGGGTCAGATTTGTCTCTGTGTCCAGGACATGAGAAATCATGTTCTTAAAAAAAAAAAAAAAAAAAAAAATTGTGACATTTTTGTCAGTGATTGTCTATCTTTATTGAATGGATCCCACATTCTTTCCACAAGTGACTAAGGAACCTTTCCTGAGAAGTATCATTTAGGTAAGACTTGAATGATGAGAAAAAGCCAGTGATGCAAAGATCTAGGGGACTACTGGAAAAAGATCTAAATGTGATAGGATGTTTCCTGCGTTAAAGGGTGAGTAAGAAATCTAGAGTGACTGGAGCATAGTGAGCAAGGGGAAGAGTGGCATGAGATGAGGTTGGAGAGGAGTCAGGAGACACATCATTTAAGGCTCTGAGAGCCATGGTAAAAAATATGAATTTTATTTAAAGTACTACGTTTATATGGAGGAGCTCTGGTAGCGTAGTGCCTAAGGCACTTGACTGCTAACCAGAAGGCTGGCAGTTCAAACCCACCAGCCACTCCTTGGAAGGAAGGGTGGGCAATCTACTTCCATAGTGATACTGCCTCGGAAACCCAAGGAGGGGTTGTTATGAGTCAGGTCCGACTCAACGGCACATAACAACAGCAACAAGGTTTATATATGGAGAAGTAATTTTTATTTATTTTTAAAAATTATTCTAGCTATTATATGGAGAAGGAGCTCTGGTAGCATAGTGCCTAAGGTACTTGACTGCTAACCAGAAGGCTGGCAGTTCAAACCCACCAGCCACTCCTCGGAAGGAAGATGGGGCAATCTACTTCCATAAAGATACTGCCTCGGAAACCCAAGGAGGGGTCGTTATGAGTCGGGTCTGACTCGATGGCACATAACAACAACAACAACAACATGATGTGGAGAATGGATTGTAGGGTTCACAGATGGAAGCAAGGAGACCATTTAGGAATATAGTAGAATTCTCCAAGGAAGACATGCATGTGGCTTCATTTAGTATTGTGGTGATAAAGACAGAGAGAAGTGAACAGATTTGGGATGATTTATTGGTGGATAAAATGTGAGTGGTGAAGAAAATCAGACAATCAAGCTTATTTCTAAGGATTTTATGTTGAATAACTAGGTGTTTATTGGTTCTCTTTATTGAGACAAGGGAAGAAATGATTTGAAGGGGGAAGCTATAAAGAAAGGTTTTGTTTAAGTTAGGTTTGATATGTCATGTTGCCATATGTCATGTTGACATCTTCATGAGAAGATGTCAAGAGGTTAATTAAATATATGAGAGTTGAGCTTAGGGAGAATCTAGGACTGAGACATAGATGTTGGTGTCATCAATTCATGGATTTTTCTCAATGCTAGAAAGTAGAGGAGGTTACACAAGAAGAGACAATTTGGATAGAAAACAAGAGAAGGGGCAAGGGCCACACACAGAGGACTCTTCATATTAAAAGTTGACCTAACAAGATTGAGTCAACCAAGAAGACTGGGAAAGAGTATGAGTGATTTTGGAGGAAAACCAAGAGAATGTGATGATGCATAGAAGCCAAGGAAAGTAAATGTGTTTCAAGAAGGAGGGAATGTGCAGCTATGGTGAATACCTCCTACAAGGGGCTGAGGTGAGAACATAACAGGTAAGTGAGCACTGGGTTTGGTGGACTTGGCATTTGCAGATTCATTGGTATACCCAAGTTGCACCCTGAACTGATTGAAGAGAGAATGGGAGGTGAAGAAGTGAACACAGGATCATAGATGAGTCTTCTCAATTAGCTGGCCTCAGGGAAGGAATGTGCTCTAAATCAGAGTCGGCTGGACTTAAAATACAAGAATACCAAACAAAAAAACAAAACAAAACAAAAACTCACTGCCATTGAGTTGGTCCCAACTCATGGTTACCCCTCCTTGGGTTTCCCAGGCACTATCACTACGGAAGTAGATTGCCCAACCTTCCCTCCAAGGAGTGGCTGGTGAGTTTGGAGCACTAGCCTTTTGCTTAGCAGTCAAATGCCTTAGGCAGTATGCCACCAGAGCTCCTAAAATATAAGAATGAAAGAGCCAAAGAGAAGCTGGAAGGAACTGAGAACCAGTGATGTTTAGACAACAGAAATGAAGAACTAGAATGTCTTTGTATGCAGTGTTAACTGGTTAGATGCAAAAACATTAATTCACAGCACAAACATTTATTAGTGACCTAAAACACACCAATCACTGACCTGGGTGAAGAGGACAGAATAATGAACAAATTTGGTCTCTCTCTCTCAGCGTAAACCACAGTAACATTTTCAGTTACTATGTACAAGACCTATAAATTAAAGAGTTGAACATTCAGATATAGGTGTATAGAATGAAATTAGCAGATTTTCTATGTGACACTTGTGCACTGACTACATTACTGTTTGGGACAACATGGCATGAAAAAGGAAGAGTGGTGAGATAATGTAAAATAATAAGTATTTGCAAGGAAACTCTGGTGGTGTAGTGGTTAAAGCATTAGGCTGCTAACCAGAAGGTTGGTGTTTCATACCCATCAGCTGCTCCCTAGGAGAAAGATGATATAGTTTGGTTCCATAAAGATTTATAGCCTTTGGAAACCCCATGGGGCAGTTCTACTCTGTTCAATAGGGTTGCGCTATAAGTTGGAACTGACTTGATGGCAGTGGTTTTGGGTTCTGGGAAGTATTTTGAAAGTATGATTTAGAAGAAGAGGTAATGGCAATATTGTTGAAAGCTGCTAAGAAATTGAAATGATTGAGAACAATCTATTGAATTTAGAAGTTGTGAGGTCATTGTCAATGAGAGCTATGGGACAATGCATAGAACATATAATTAATCATTTGCAGGAAGTTAATATACCATCCTGGTGGAGTGCTGGGATGCTGGAGCCAGATTCCTTGAGTTCTAATCCTTTAGTCGCCCTGTGTGGTAGTAAGTTCTGCTGTAAAATGAGGAAAATGACATCTGCTTCATAGAGTTGTTTTGAGGATTAAACAGATGATATATGTACAGCAGTAGGAATAGTGCCTGTCACATTGTACTCTTATTTCAGTGCAAACTATTCTTTTTCTATCTGTCTCATATCCATAGATGCTTCCTCTAAAGTAGGTCTCAATTCTGCCCACCACTTTCTAGGTAGCAGTCTACTGCCATTGTCCAAGTTACTATCATCTCGTTCCTGCATTGTACCTGAACTTGTCTCTTTTCTTCAACTCTTGCTTTTTCCTGTACCCAATTGACTCTTTACTCTGTTGTCTTTGATATCTGAAAACATACTTAGAATCTAGAATTTAGGATTTTTAAAATTCCTTTCCCAATTAATTACAAACACCTTAATAGGAAGAAGGGCAGGAACCACTAACCATGCACATCAATATTTCCACACCCAAACCTATGAATAATCATGTGTTATGGCATTTGACTGTTAACCAGAAGGTTGGCAGTTCAAACCCACCAGCCGCTCCACAGAAGGAAGACTGGGCAATCTACTTCCTTAAAAATTTACTGCCTCAGAAACCCAAAGGGGGTTGCTATGTGTTGGAATTGACTCGATGACAGTGAGTTTTGTTTTGTTTTTTTGGATGGAATAAAGGAATATACAATATTGTAGCTGATTTTAATTATTAAAAAGTAGCATATGAAATAGTGGGATAAATGTAGAATAAATATTCTAATACATATTTCATAGCAAAATCATCCAGTAATACTTCAAACTTACATATGACTCACATTAAGCTAAATATTAAGCTAGTACATATCCATACTTCCTACACCCTATTGCTTGAGGATGGCAGAGTAATGGGTACATCAGGGTCATTATAATTCCTTTCTTCAAGGAATGAAATTCATAAAAGATGAAGCTGCACTCACTGGACTGTCATTTTAAAGACTCCTTCCAGCACCATTGCAGTTCTGTGTTAGCAGCTTCTCCCTAACTGAGGAGATTGCAATACCCTCAGGCTCCTGGGTGACTGCACTTTGTTCAAGGCTATTAATCAACTGAGCCCCCATTCTTGACATCTCATCTTTGGGGAGCTTTCCACCTGTGCTCTCCCTGTCACCACTACCATGCTCCCATCACTCCAGGAATGTGCAATAGGGGCTTCATTGTCAGTGCTCAGTCTGTTTCTGATGACAGCCTCCTCTGACTTACTTAAACTTTCACATGAGAAACTTTCATCCTATGTTCTCATTAGTGACGTGGCCATTTTCAATATCTTCATCTGCTAGCTTTCTTGCAAAGTCAGCATACCCCAGTCTCCCAAATATTTGTTAAGGTTGATTTATTAATTACTAGCTTCTTAAAAAACACTAGGAGTTGACATCTGTCAGAAAGTTTTTGATTTTTAGACACCTGTAAATTGCCACAAACATAGAGTTTGAAAACTCTTTCTAGTGCTGGACTACTAACCTAAAGATCAGTGGTTCAAACCCACCAACTGCTCCTCAGGAGATATTGGCAACCTGCTTCCATAATGATTGTTGCTGTTATTGTGTGCTGTCCAGTCGATTCAGACTCATGGAGACCCTAAATGACAGAGTAGAATTACCCCCAAAGGGTTTCCCAGGCTGAATGCTTACCGGAGAAGACCTCCAGGGCTATTCTCCCATGGAGCAGCTGGTAGGTTCCAACCACCTTTCTGCTAGCATAAAGACTCCTCCATAAAGATTACAGCCTTGGAAACCCCACGGGGCAGTTCTACTCTGTCACATAAAGCCACTATACTATGACTTGGAATCCACTGGACAGCAATGGGTTTCTTAATGGGGCAATAGAGTCCTTGGACATAGGTTTCAATACAGATGTATCACTGGCAGAAATTAAAACCCATAAACTTTGCTTTATACAAAAAGTTTAAGAGGAGATTTTGTGGGCAGTTGTGCAAAGACAATAAAATTTTACAGTTTCTCTTATTTCAGCTTGTCTATAATGAATTTAAACCACTAATACAAAGGAATTAACAAACCCGTCAGAAAGCATATCTCTGGTTATCTATGTTTTCCTTTTTTGGAAATTAATACACAGTTAAAATACTCCTTTCAGATCTTGTGGATTTTGGGTTTTCTATTAGTTGTCCTCATTTTGGTGAAAATATACACAACAACACATTCACCAATTTAATAATCTCTACATGTATACTTCAGGGACATTGATGACTGTTCACTTTGGGGAGAATTTGCAGCTTAGCACACATGTTGTTAAAATCCTTAATAGCTTTTTATAGTCCCGTTAGACTTTATGAATGTTTTTTTTTGTTTGTTTGTTTTTAAGAAACTAGTTCTAAGACATGTCTTTTTTTCTAGCAAAACAAAGTTTTTTTCTGGGCTTAGATTTTCATCAGATATACTAACTGCAAAACTTTCCATAAAATTTTCATCTACTTTATAATCAACATTGACTTTTTCAACAGAGACCTTTGAGATGGTTTTCACCAGTTGTTCTCACCCAGGGACAATTTAGTACCTCAGAAGGCACTTGACACAGTCTGGAGACATTTTTGTTTGTCACATCTGGGGAGATGCTATTGGTATCTAGTGAGCAAACCAGAGATGATGCTAAACTTCCTACAATGCAAAGAGAACCCCACACAATGAATCATTCCATTCAAAATGCCAATAGGGTCAAAGTTGCAAACATTGGCTTACACTGTGCTGCTTCTAAAAGTTCTAGATTCACACCTTGCAAATTACTTTCTCATGGTTTATTTTAGCTTGCTCCCCTGCCAAAAAAATAGAAAGTTTACCACTTTGTTGTTGCATTTATTCAATCAATGCAAGTTCAAGATCTTAAGTTGTGTTTTCTGCCTTATACAATGTATTTCAATATTTCCTAAGTTCTTGGACATTGCCATCTCCACTCACTTTCAACAACTTGCCTTCATATGATGTCATCCATGGTGGCAACTGACACAAGTGTATGTCAATGTAATGTCCTAAATGCCTGCAGAAATTGTACATCCTATGCTTTAATTCGGAAGAGCAGGAGAAAGGGGATAAAAGCCAGGAACCCGGACAGAAGAGCAGTCAGCCCCAGGGTTACAGGTCAGGAGAGACAACTCAGGGACGCCCAAAGTAGCAGATGGGAAGAGCAGGAGAAAGGGGATTAAAAGCCAGGAAGCCAGAGAGAAGAGCAATCAGCCGAAGTGGCAGGAATACACAGAGTCACTGTACCAAAAAGAACTGATCGATCTTCATTTCAGGAAGTGGCATATGATCTAGAACCAATGG